GAAACATAAGATGCATATGAACCAAATGCAATGTATGGATTGTATTCGAATCCTAATTAAATAAAAATATAAAAACAAAGCATATAAGCTAATCAAAAACCTTGACTAGATATTTAATACCATTCATATGTGTTAAATTTATGCATGATAACAATATTGCATAAGTATGTACACATACATTATTCAAGTTATTATCCTTTAGAGCTACACACAGATTGATTTACAGAGAAAATGAAAGCCAGTTTTCATGTGAATTGTGATTGAAAACAAATACTCATATAAAGTTAGTAACCAGGACAAATTACTTACCTTATACTATAGAATGCTATAAATTGATTTCTATATGTCACACATAAATAATAAAAGCATGATCAATCTAATAAAAAATGAGAAAAAGACACAAGTAAGCATTTCATAAGGAATGTGTATGGTGTCTGGAGAATGTATAAATCCACAAGCTTCCTTAAATAGTTTAGTGTTACCAAAATCTCTGGTAAACAGTTGGCATTACCTCCTACAATTGGACATTCCTATAAACCATGAGTTGGCAATTTCACTCATAGGTGTGTATCAAAGAGAAAATCTTGCCATGTGCAGGAATGTTCATGGCAGTGCTATTTATAATAGAAAAATTGTAGAAGCAGCCTAAATATCCTTTATGGTAGATTAGATGACTAAATAGCCTCTCCATTGACAGGAGAGTAAATGAATAAGTACAAAGAAATATTATATAATGGTCAAATCAAATAACTATAGCAAACACAACAATGTGGATGAATCTCAATAAAACAAGTCCCAAAATATTATATATAGAATACCCTTTTTTTTTAAAGCTAAGAAAAATAAAAACACTCATATGAATGTATACTTTACATGTATATGAGAGTGATATACATACACACATGTATATATATAAATATGTAAATAACACTATAAAAGAGAAAGCAAGGGTGGGATGAACAGGCGTTTCAGGGTGATGGCTACCTTGGGTGACAGAAGCAATGTGACAGGGACGGTGACTACTGTATGGTTAGATGGAAGGTACTTCGAAGGTCCTGCCTGGCATTTTTTTGGGTGATGGGTATGTAGGTACTTATATTATTAAAAATAATAAATAAAAGTGGACCATTTGTGAACCAATAAGGATAAGTGCCTGTGAACCAAGACAATGACTGTTTTATTTCTTTTTTTTTTTTTTTTTTTTTTATCCTCACCCGAGGACATTTTTCCATTTTTTGTACAGATAGAGCGGGAGGGAGAGAGAGGAAGGGAGAGAGAGAGAGAAACATCGATGTGAAGGGACACATCGAGTGGCTGCCACCCGCACGACCAACCAGGGCCGGGGACAAACTGCAACCGAAGTACGTGCCCTTAGCGGGAACCGAACCCGGGTCTCTGCGGACCGCAGGCTGACGCTCTAACCGCTGAGCCAAACTGGCCAGGGCCTGTTTTATTTCTTTATAACTGAGTTCTAATTGGAGAAAAGATTATTCTGTGTACATTGCTATATAAATAGCATTTTAAAATCTGTGTAGATATACCCATCAAAAAGGTATACTCATGAATGCTGATACTTGTCTAACTTTAGAAAGATTTTTCTTTTCCTGTTCCATATGCTATTTAAATGGATAGTGCTGGAAAATGCACATTGCTTGGCCCGCTGGGGAATGCTTCAGGTTTTCTGTATGCTTGATTTTTTTTCTTAATTAGAAACACTATTTCTGAAAATTTTCCTAAAGCATATTAGTTTGCTTCTCTATTGTATTAAGAAAATGATGATGACATGTATGAGTGATTCATGACTGAATTTCTTATGATGCTTCAATGTGATACATTATTTTATAGGGCACAAAAGATTTAGCTTACTCTGGCCAGGCTTAAAACATATCCTAGACTTTGCTTTTTTCTCTAGATCCCTGATAGGGAGCTGTTTTCTTAGGACTTTTTTCTTCTAAAAATCGTGTTTCCCTTTATTCCCACCTTATTCTGGTTAATTGAAATTTTATTGCTTAAGGTTTTGTTGTAATTTTTTTAGTCTCAGATTATTAAGGTTGTGACTCCAAGCTGCTCTCATTATTTAAAAGTGCTAATTCATATATTTATTTAAATATCGACTTTGTTATAGATACTTTGTTAGGTGCATGCCCCTTAATCTAATCACCATAATAATTGTGTGATTAAGCCTTGAGGTGCATGTTCTGGAGCTAAGGGACTCAGCCTGGATTTGGGAAGCAGCCTGTAAGCTGAGATCTAAGGCAGCGGTTTTCAACCAGTGAGCCACATTGGCTGAGCAATACCTGACTAGTTAGGCCTGTTGTCTATTCCCTTAGATTGTCAAATGAAAAATGACAGCAGTCAACGCAACAATAGGCATCTGGTGTGAATGAATCAAAATCATACTTTTTTTTTGTCAGATTGGCAAATATATATATATATATATATATATATATATATATATATATATGTATTTTGGTGTGCTGCAGAATTTTAGTAATTAGTTTATGTGCCATGAAATGAAAAAGGTTGAAAATCGCTGATCTAAAGGACGCCTAGTAACCAGTTGAAGGGTGGAGTACTGGTCATGGTATAGGATCTGGTTAGCAGAACGGGATACAAAGGGGCTCTGGAAGGAGGCAGTGCAGCGGGGTTGACAAATACAAGAACGGTGTGCTGTGGTGGTGGGAATCCACGGTGACACAGAACCGCAGAGGTAGGCAGAGGCCTGATGAATTCAGGGCCTGGGAGCAGTAGGAAACCCTTGAGGATTTCTGCTTAGGAATCTATTGAAAAATAGATTCGTATTTTGAAAAGAATGCTTGTTTTAATGCCCATCTTCCTGGATAGACTGTTGGCTCCTCAAGGATAGGGAGGAGCTGTTGACCTCGCCAATACAGGTCAGTAGGTACTCAGTCAAGATTGTGTGACTATTAAGAGTTCACTGTCTGGCACACAGTAAGTGCTCAGTAATGTTAGCTGTGGTTTTTGTTGCTCTGGATTAGCCTTTGGTGTGGACAGTGGCTGCTGTAGAGTTAGAGGTTTCATGAAATAGTTAGATCCAAAAGTATCTATTGAAGACCTATGATATATCCGGAGGGATTAGCAGTTAAATTTATTAGAATTCCATGCCTTCTTTTCTTTCATGTCCTAAAGATGTGCAGAGCAGAGAAGTGATTGAGAATTCTGCTAGTAAATGAGATTAGCCTACAGCAGGTGCTCCTGCCCTCCACTGTTCGCTGGATTCAGTTAGAGCTTGGTGCTTGTTCGGATGGCTCTCATAAGTTGGCTTTCATAGGATGGCTTCTAGAGTTCCCTTTCACAGCTCATATGATGGTCTGAACATTATTTCTCAGTTATACTAGCTTATTTTATATAGAGTGGGATACCTTGTCATTTTTCATCCCAAAGACTGTTTGCTTTTAGAGATATTTATTGTGAAAATCTATCATTTTCAGTGCTATAGCTTTAATGTTTTACTTTTTCCAAGTGTTTATAGATGAGGTGTCCTCTCTATAGGATGTAGTTATAGCTCCCACTTCCTGGCCATTTCCCCTGCTCTTTCCTAGGAAACAATAACCAGAACCACCACCTGACAAGTACTCGATTTGTGCACTTGATACAAGGTGCTCCATTTGGGTGGACTGATTACTAGAAGGTTCCCCTGTTTCCGACACATTCCGGGTCAAGGTGTACTGCTTAAAGGATGGCATCTGGGCCACTTCTCAACTCCTACTTGTGCCTTCCACGGGGTGCCGTTAATCCAGGCAAAAACTACACAACTATACTTAGTGGCCCTAAATAGTAACTCAGTGTAAATTAGATGTTGCTCATGATTAACTGGATTGTAGATAATCCTTCATAAACAAAGCAAATCTACTTGAAAAGGTAGAACAATTGTTCCTTTCTAGGTGTTAAATGCAGCCTGCAGTTAAAACACTAATGTTATATTTAACTTGTTTTCAGTTTTGTAAAATTGTGTGTATAGGCAGAAGTTGTCATTTTTAGGTAAAATTTCATTTTGTCAAATAGAGCTAAGGTTTTTTGTTCTTTTTTAATGTGCTCAGCTTTGAGTGCCAATAAATAAAAAAGTAAAAATTTACCCACACATACATACCTCTTTAATTTTTTATTATGGAAAATTTTAAACGTGTACAAAGTGAAGTGATGAAGCCTCATGTATCTCTTATTCAGCTCCAACAATTGTCAGTATATTGTTTTATCTGCTGCTTCCCACGTTGCCCACCGTAAATTATTTTAAAGCAATTTCAAAATACTATGTTTTTAACCTTCCAATTCTTTAGTATTTACTCTGGGAAATAAAGACTTTAAAAAAAATAAATAAATAACTCAAGCACAGTTTATTTCAGCACCTAAAAAGTTAATATTGTCAACCATTCAGTCAGTGCTCAGACTTTCCTGATTGTTTCATAAATGACTTTTAAAGTTGGATTGTTTGAATCAGAAGCACAATAAGTATATACAGTATAACTGGTCAATGTGTCTCTTGAGTTACTTTTAATCTATAGCTTTCCTTTTCTCTTTTTTCCCCTTGTGATTTATTTGTTGAATAAAGGGCCATTGGTTCACTTTCTGGTTTTTGTTAATTGTATCCCTGTGGTATCACTTAACTTCTTCAAGTACGCTTTTCACTTATGTTTAAATATATTATACCTCATCTCCATAGACTGTAAAAACGTTTTTGTTTAAGTGGACAAAATAATGCTTAACTTAGTTGTCGAAGATAGAAGGATTTTAAAGATTTTGTAAACATGGAAAGGAGGAACTGGAGGAAAGTCCAGGCCTCAGAAAGTTAGTTGAATTTTGTTAAAGCTCCATTCTTACAGCTCTCTGATTATTTTGATAACATTATACATTTGTTGCCACCTTAAAATATTATAAAACACTGGAATATAAAATTGTAGCGAGAATAGATGTACAGGTTGATTTTGGTTAAAGTAACATTTTTCATTAACTTTTTTTGTTGTTGTTTGTTTACAAAAAAGCTATCAGGTGATCAGCACTCCAACGGATTTTTTTATGGTAATGGAATATGTGTCTGGCGGTGAACTATTTGACTACATCTGTAAACACGGACGGGTGAGTAACACTACCCAGTGCAATAAATTCCTAAGCTAAAAAAGAGGGAAGTGCTGGGAAATAGCAAACCACAGAGGTATTTTTAAAGTTGGGGTTGCTTCTGTAATAATGCCCAACTAAACATACAGACTATTAGACATATTTTCTCTCTTTAAAAGTACACCTTTTGAAATACTGATTTTAGGAAATAAGTTCCATTTATCTGCCAACATGATGCCTATGCTTTTCAAAATGAAAAATCTGTTCCATACATCATGTTGAAGCTTCAGCTATTTTCTTTCTTAGCACGTTCACCTAAGTTCTAGTTTCGATTATGTTTTACTCACTGAGTCCCTAAGACTTGTGCACATTTAGTAATATTACTTGAAAATTAAATATTACTGCCTAGCAGCAAAGAAAAACCTGTTGATGGACATGTTGAGCTGGAATGCAAGTTTTCGGTTTCTTTGTCTGACTTGTTGAATACTCTACCACCACCTAATGAGCTTGCTCAGTTATATTTAGGCGGAGTGTGAAACCGAGATTCTTGCTATGTAGATGCCCCGAACATTTTTAGTGCAGCTTCTTTTACATTGCTAGGTTGAGGAGCTGGAAGCCAGGCGGCTCTTCCAGCAGATCCTGTCCGCCGTGGATTACTGCCACAGGCACATGGTGGTGCACCGCGACCTGAAGCCCGAGAACGTGCTGCTGGACGCGCACATGAACGCCAAGATAGCGGATTTCGGTGGGTAGCTCGGGGTTGCTCAGGGTACGAGCTGCCTCTCGAAGGGTGGCAGCCGCAGTTCTGAAGGAACTAAGAACTTAAATTTCAACACTGTAAATCCTGTGCTGAGAAAAGGGGTTAGTTGCACAACCTCCACAGTAGTAAATTTATTTAAGCATGCTTTTAAAAATGTAGTAAAAAAAAACACACCAAAAAAAAAAAAGCAAACCACTTCGTAGACTCAGACAACAGTATGGTGATTACCAGAGGGAAAGTGGTGTGGGGACAGGTAGACAGGGGTACAGAGGGGATAAATGGTGATGGAAGGAGACTTGACTTGGGGTGGTGAACACACAGTACAATATACAGATGATCTGTTATAATAACATTGTATACCTGAAACTTGTGTAATTTTATTAGCCACTGTCACCCCAATAAATTCAATACATTAAAAAAAAAACGCAGCGGATACTTTTAGAGAAGTTAGAGGGCTAGGCATTAAGGTAAACCCATTTCATCTGTGTTTTTTCCTAAGGAAATGAAATTTAACTGTTTTTGTGCAGGTCAAAAACCCCTTTGAAAATAGGGCACTGTCTCTGATGACCGCACTTAACCCGAGACCCATGAACGCTCGCAGCCTTGGAGCTTTGCAGGAATTCATGCCTACCATTTGATGAAGGAACAGGAGTTTTGTCAGGGGTGAAAGAAAAGCGAACATGTAATTGTTAGGCACCAAACACTTTCTGGGGTAGACATGCCCAGAAAGGGTGCCATAGTAGGGTGTTTTGGGGCAAGGATTAGGAAGAAGAGATTCTAGGAGAGACAGAAGCATGCCAGAGTCCTTCTGAAAATCACAGAATTCACTTAGTACAATAGTCCAACTAGATTTTTGGTTTAGTTAATTATTTTTTTCTATGTTTAATGAAAGCTTTCTGAGAAACTTTTAGAAAATAGTCTTTATAAATTGGAGCCTGTCTGATTTCTACTTAGAGATTTTTTTTTTTTTTAAAGACTTTTGAAAGCATGGCATAAAAAAGCAGTAGTCTCTATTTTATTCTTTCTGCTGTAGAATCGTGTAAATAATATTTTGATATTTTTATGTTTGGAAAAGTTCATATAGTTTCGAGTAACCTCATATTTGTGAAGTGAATCAACATTTTTATTTAGAAAAGGAATTTAATTCTTTTAAAATTAATTTAATGCATGCTGTGTTTTAGCTTTTTTGTCATAATAGAACAGCACCCTGAAATGGTCTCTTTGTAGTCTTAACAGATGCTTTCCACTCCTGTGTCTTAATTGAAAAATATGTGCTGAGCATTAAAGACTTGACATTTTTCCTCATGGGTTTATCTATATCTGCTTTTAGCAATATCTTGCACCTGGTAACCATTACTCTCATTTTCAGGGTTATCTAACATGATGTCAGACGGTGAATTTCTGCGAACTAGTTGTGGATCTCCTAATTATGCGGCGCCCGAAGTAATCTCAGGCAGGTAATACACGTCAGCACAGAGGGAGCTGTTTGTAATCTTTTGTTCATTTGGGGAACACTTAATGATACAGTTTCTTCCTAAGATAAGATTTTTAACACAGTAGAAACAAATTGTCCCTGTTACTTTTTCATTGTTGAAGAGAGAAGTTATATTAAACAATGTTTTGAACATTTAATTTTGTCCTGAATGTATTTAAGGAGGGTTTCCATTAAAAATGACAGAAACAAATGTTGATATTTTTTCATCTGAGAAAAGTGCAGATAGAGTAAGCATGTGCTAAATTTAAGCAATGTCGTTATTTACTTATCAGACATGATCCTTTAATGATATTTTACATGTTCTTTTAGAAAAGTATATAGAGTATTTTATATTTTGTTTTTGGAAGAATGAGGTTTGGGAGGAACAATATGTCATTTCATAAATGTAACAGTGCAAGTGGAGATATTTTAATTATGTAATTTTCTCACTGATACATTTAAAACATGTTTATACAGATTGCAGTGGTAAACCCAGGTCTTCTACAGAGACCAATGTCTGATTGTAAAAGTTAACAGAATTCTATGAGAGAAAAGATAGAAAAGGTATTATTACAGGTAGTGGTAGAGGAGTTTTTGACCAATACAACCAACAGTGTTAATGATAAACAGCAATTTTTATTGACATGGATTATATTCTTTTAATTGGATTGAAGATTTGCTTTGTTCCTCCAACCCAGGTTTGAGTTTGGTAATGTGCTTTCAGGGGAAGTTTTCTAGGCATAGCTTTTTTGTTGTTGTTGTTGTTGTTTTTTTGGAGCAAAGCTAATCTTAGTCCCATGAGCTAGCAAGTGATTAGAAAGGAAGTATTTAGGTCCTCAGGATAATGTGATGCAGGATAAATACTGTCAAAGACAGTATCACAGAACTAGTTAGGTACTTTACTGTTTCAAATATTTTTTAATGTAGGTGTGCCAGGAATGAAATTCTATTACATATGCATTTTCTTTCTTGTAAGAGTTTTATGGTAAAAAAAATTTAGCCTATACCCTATATAGTATTTTTTTTTCAAGTTTATGGTCATCTACTTTGATGTTTCTATAAAAAATCAGCCATAGAAAGTTTTATATTTTTTAATTAATCAATTAATAAGTTCAGTGAAATGAGTTTGTGCCAAAAATATATATATATATACTGTTTTCTCTTGGAAAACTTGAATAGTAATTGATTAGACCAGTTAATTATTTTCCATGGGGAGCTACCATTGAGTTGTGGAGTGGGCGTGGACTTCATTAAAGACCTTGAAAGCCATATTTACTGAGTCCACCTGTGTGTATCTAGACAGGGTACTTGTGAAGAGAGTGACAGTGGCATTTCAGGTTTGCATTGTCATCTTTTTCTAGATTGTATGCAGGTCCTGAAGTTGATATCTGGAGCTGCGGTGTTATTCTGTATGCGCTTCTCTGTGGCACCCTCCCGTTCGATGATGAGCACGTACCTACGTTATTTAAGAAGATCCGAGGGGGTGTCTTCTATATCCCAGAATATCTCAATCGTTCCATCGCCACTCTCCTCATGCATATGCTGCAGGTTGACCCCCTGAAACGAGCAACTATCAAAGACATAAGGTGACTCACTTGTTGTTACTGTTACATACATATTCTAGTATTAATGACACTGTTACCACTAATCGAATGCCTTCTTTATGCTGGGCTCTGTAGCGCTTTATACACATTTTACTTTCCTTAATGCACAAACCCGATCATGTCACTCGTGTTTTAAATATTTGAGATTGTTTCCCAAACTCCGGGTAGCAAAGCATACAAAGCCCTTCAGGAAGGCTCGTCTCACTTCCGAAGTCCAGTCCTGCACTGCCACGCCCCACGCACGGTGCTTCGGCCACACTGGGTTTTCCCGTTCCTCCAGCATGTTCTTTGCCTTTGTGTCTTTGTTTGTATGATTCCTTTCACCTCTGATGCCTTCTCTGCCTTTTTGGACCTGATAGATTTCTATTCATCCTTCAAAATTCTGCTCACATACCACCTCTTTTGATTTCCCTAGGCAGTGTCAGTTGCTCCCACTTCTGTGATTTTCACATTCTGTTCATGCTTTTGTTCTTCTGTTCTCATTTTGTGTGTAGCACTTTTTCAGTGTGTTGTTTTCTCTTTTACATTGTAACTAAATAAGGGTAGAGGGAGTGTCTTCCTCATCTTGGTATATGCAGTGCTAGACAGCCTAGTATATAGCATATGGTCAGAAAGTGTTTGAATAAATTTCTAATAGAAAAACAGGGTGAGACTTATGCATTTGACTTGTGGTTGATGCAATAAAGAATAAAAGTTTTGCTAAGATTTTGAATCCAAAAATCACTGCTAGTGGGTTTGCAAGGATTTCTTGTTGTGTGAGAAACTTTGGAAAATGCAGTAGCTGGTGTTACTGTGAATGTGACCTTTATAAAGTACCCAGCAGCCAGGACGATTGATTGCCTTCTACTTTTACTTATCATGTCACGTTTCTTAGAGGTGTTCTGTTCTTACCTAACCTTGTTTCCAGTATTTGCTAACAAACACATTCTTTTAACATCTCTCCAGAATCCTCCTTCTCTTCATAATCCAGAATGACTGTTTGGAGACCTGTGACTGTCGGAGTATTTAAGTGATGGCTGAGGTGGTTGTTTCCGTGTCTGAAAGCACGGACTGACTCCTTTCGTATCCGTGGACTGTTTCCTTCCCCACCCTTTCCTCAGTGTTCCAGGCTTCGTGCATAAACATGTAAAACTGCAGAGCAGCACCAGATTTAGTTATGCAAATGAACTTAGTGGGGAAACAACCTCTTGTGTTCACACTTCTTTAGAATGTATAGTTCATTGCCCTGGCTGGTTTGGCTCAGTAGTCGGAGCGTCGGCCCACGGACCAATGAGTCGCGGGTTCGATTCTGGTCAAGGGCACATACCTCAGTTGTGGTTCGTCTCTGGCCCTGGTGGGTGTCATGCGGGAGGCAACCAGTCTGTGTCCCTCTCACATCGGTGTTTCTTTCTCTCTCCCCCACCTCCATCCTACTCTCTCTGAAGAAAAATAGAAAAATATCTTCAGGCGAGGATTAAAAAAAACAAAGAATATATAATTAATTTAATTGGCTTTTTCTTAGAAAGAAAATTGGATATGCTGATATATATATATACTTGTATCTGTAGTGTAAAGTATTGATTCTGTTATTTTAAAACAGATGTTTGTGTACAAGCTTTAGGAGGAGATGTAAGTAAAAGTCTACTTGGATGTAGGTGATATAAAATAGTGGCATTCATTTCTGTACTTAAAATAACATGACAACTTGAATTAGTAGTTCTCATTTTTTTATTTATCCAAATTCAGTTTTTTGATGTTTGAAAATCCTTTTTTTTTTAAATACAAGAATATTGAAAGTTTGTACTTACTTTTAAATTATTGATTTTAGAGAGGAGAAGAGAGAGAGGAAGAGAGAGAAAAACATTGATGTGAGAGAGAAATGTTGATCGGTTGCCTCCTATAAGTACCCCAAAGGGGGATTGAACCCACAACCTGGGTATGTGCTCTGACTGGGAATCAAGCCCACCACCTTTCGGTGTACGGGACAATGTTCCAAACAACGGAGTCACACCAGCTAGGGCCATTGGTTGATTCTTGTATATGCCCTGACCAGGGATGGAACCCACAACCTTGAAGTATTGGGATGACGCTCTAACTAACTGAGCTACCGGGCCAGGGCCTGTTTGTGACTTCTTGAGTCAATAAAATACAATTCAACAGGGAAATAATTACTAATTACTGAATACTTACTATATACCAGGTATTTTGCTAGACACTTGACATGTTTTATTACATTGACTCTTAATAGGTAGCTATTATTGCTCTTATTTTTACAGACCATGAGACTGATACCTGTTTAGACATGTAATATAATTACTTTTGTTATTTCTTTTGAAAAATTAATGCTATTAGTCATTTTTATTACTAAACATTTATTAGATGCTTATTATTATAGCAAATAAACACATTAATGAATTCATTTTTATCTTCCTACTTTATGTGTTTATTCATCATTTATTTATTTTGCATTACAGAGCACTTACTCTGTATTGGACATTGGAGTATAATTAAATAAGATATGGCTCCTCTTTCAAAGAGCTCCCAGTTTGGGGGGAAGATTATGAAGAAATCAACAACTATAAAAAAGTATGAGTGTTATAATAGAAAGTTCTAGAAGCTGTGGAGGTTTCATCTTTGTATACCCTCAGGGCCTGACTCACCACCATTTCTCACCGGGATGGTGCACCAGCATCATCAGCACTATGATCATCATTACTTTCTACCTTTCAGTTTCTATATCACGAGCAGAACAATATTTATAGAATGCAAATTATATCCTGTCACCCCTGTCTCCTTAAAAGTGTTCAGTGATTTTTATTAACCATAGGTTCAAATCTCCAAACCCTTTTTATAGCCTACAGCTGTCAGAACTTTCTGATAATCAGAATCTTCGAGTACACTGTTTCTTTTGCTGGGAGTATCTGTTTCTTAACTCTTTGCTTAGGTGACTTCTAATCATTCTGGCATCTGCTTAGCTGCTACTCATAGTGGCTTCCTTGGTCGCCTGCCTCCCATTCTGAATTATATTCTTTCATTTTACCTTGTGTATTTTTACTCAGAATCTTAACCATGGGATTTTCATGTTTGTAACTATATATTTATTTTTGTGAGTGTTTGTTTAATCTTTATCTAGCTAGGATATAATCTTTTTTTTTTTTTTTTTTATCCTCACCCGAGGACATTTTTTCATTTTTTGTTCAGATAGAGTGGGAGGGAGGGGGAGGGAAAAGAGAGAGAGAAACATCGACGTGAAAGGGACACATCGAGTGCCTGCCACCCGCACGACCAACCAGGGCCAGGGACAAACTCAACCAAGGTACACGCCCTTAGCAGGAACCGAACCCGGGTCTCTCTGGACCGCAGGCAGACGCTGTAACTGCTGAGCCAAACTGGCCAGGGCTAGCATATAATCTTTATGAGGTGAAGGAGGTTGTCTCTTTGCCATAGAATGTCCTTAAAATATGCATTAATGTATTAATCAGTCAATAGAAGGTATCCAGTCAAACTATATATTGATCTGAATTTAAGCCTAGGGAGTGCCCCCTTGCCCTATGTAGTGATACGTACACAATCTTGAAGGAATAGTACATGTTAGGTGAGAGGGGGTGGGATATCCTGGGGTAGTAATAGCAGTATCATGTGCAAAGGCCCAGAGTGTGGGAAAATAAGATTTAGGAGACTGATTCTTGAACTTTTGGATAACCCACTTCACTCTTAAAAGTTGAGGTCTCCAAAGAGTTGGTGTATTGTTTTTTTAATGCATGTACATCTATCAATATTCACTCTATTAGAAATTAAAAATGAGAAATTTAAAAATTATTTAATTTACTTAAAAAATAATAGACCTATACATGTTAACCCAAGTAACATCTTTCATGAAAAATAACCTTATTTTCCAAATCAAAACAAAAATGGTGACAAGAGTGGCATTAATTTACATTTTTCAGATGCCCTCAGTGTTTGTAATCGAAGACAGCAGCTAGGTTCCCATATCCACTGCTTTGTTCAGTCTGTTGCAGTATGTTGTATTAGTTGAAGTGTATGGACTAAATCTGACCTCATTCATATAAGAGGTTGGAAAAGAGAGGAACATTGTAATAGCTTTCAGATAATTGTAGGTATTTTTCTTTGATATGAAACCAAAGTTTAACATGTTAGTTGCATTATCAAATAAGGAAACATGTCAGTGAACTGTTGTACTTTATTATATTGAAATCCACAGGTCTGTTTTGCATTTTGAATGCATTTGAGCCCATGTGTAATTCTGTAACATCATGCATTTGTCATTTGGAAAATATTGGGTTATTGAGTTACAGGGGTTTTCCAAATGGTGATACATTTCATATACAATATCAACAATCATATTGATTATCATCATTCCTACAAAGTTATCAGAAAGATCTTTAAGTATTGGGAAGTTTTAAGGCTCATGGAGATAAAAATTACACAGAACTCTAAAATGTTGCTTGAGAGCTTGGATTTTATCATCGGCATCAAATGCTTCCAGTTGTCTCCTTCACAGTGACAGATTCATTTTGTTTATTTTTGAGAAAATGTCAGCCAAATACCCAAATCTGAATAACTATAGTTCTTCAAGGGTAAGGGTTAATGAACTTACTGAGGGTCACATAACTAGCAAGTGACCAGAGAGCACATATTTCTGATTGTTATATTGTGTTGTCCCATGTCTACATTATTTGGGACTTGCCAGAACATGTTCTTACAATAGTGTGTTGTGGTATTTTTCCTAGAGAGCATGAATGGTTTAAACAAGATTTGCCCAGTTACTTATTTCCTGAAGACCCCTCCTATGATGCTAACGTCATTGATGATGAGGCTGTGAAAGAAGTATGTGAAAAATTTGAGTGTACAGAATCAGAAGTAATGAACAGTTTATATAGTGGTGACCCTCAAGACCAGCTTGCAGTGGCTTATCATCTCATCATTGACAATCGGAGAATCATGAACCAAGCCAGTGAGTTCTACCTCGCCTCCAGCCCCCCAACTGGTTCCTTTATGGATGATAGTGCCATGCATATTCCCCCAGGCCTGAAACCTCATCCAGAAAGGATGCCACCTCTTATAGCAGACAGCCCTAAAGCAAGATGTCCATTGGATGCACTGAATACAACTAAGCCCAAATCTTTAGCTGTAAAGAAAGCCAAGTGGCATCTGGGAATCCGAAGTCAAAGCAAACCATATGATATTATGGCTGAAGTTTACCGAGCTATGAAGCAGCTGGATTTTGAATGGAAGGTAGGACGTTGTATATCAAGGTCATTTGTAGAAGCTGTTTTTTGAATAGTATGCTGCTCTGAGCTGCTGAGTGCTGAGGTCAATAAAAAACTTGTTTTTGATTTAGAAATAAATTAGTGGTCTTGATGCTTCTGGCTATAAATGCCATTCTTTGCAATAATATACCATGTGCATTCAGAACTAAACAAATAAACCTGTTTAAGGAAGAAGTGTGCTGATGTTGGGGACCTACATATTTTTGAATTGCAAAGTAGCATTTTTGGCAAAGAAGCTAAAAGTAATCGACTTGAAATCACCTGAGAAAATAGTCCACCTGTTTCAGCATTTGTTATAGCAATAAGACGTCATGCGTCTTCAAAGGCATTATGTTCTGCATGTCTCTCCGTTCTTTTAGGCAGGGTTTTTCTTTTTGTCAGCAGTAGTAGCCAGTGGTCAGTGCAAACTGCACCATTAGGGTATGTTTGTTCAGTCAACAAATACTTTTCTCTAAGTTGAGAAAGCCTCTCTACTTTGGCTGGTGCTTTTAATCCTTAATTATAGAATATTTTTCTTACTCTCAGCCCACATTTTACATTTAAAAAAAAAAAGTGCTGAAATTTGTTTCAATTCTATTTATTTGTCAGAGGGAAAATCATTAAAAAACATTTCAGGTGTCCCTTTAATTGTTTTTGAGGACTGATCTTTTTTTTTTTTTCATGGCTGGGGACAAACTGCAACCCAGGTACGTGCCCTTAGCGGGAACCGAACCCGGGTTTCTCTGGTCCGCAGGCTGATGCTCTAACCACTGAGCCAAACTGGCCAGGGCTGAATCTATTTTTAAAGGTAGAAGAACAACATTCAAATATGCCATGCAAATATTCACTTGACATGTTTGAATACACCAGTCATTTTCATTTTGTTGTTTGTACATGAAATGCATAAGTAAAATATTTTCTTGAACCCATGTAAAACTCAGATCTCTCTTTTCTGAAGTAGTTAGTATTTAGTTAGCTAAAAAAAAAGGGATGTTAATATCTTTAAAATTCCTTATGAAACATTTTTGTAACTAGTTTGATGTTTTTGCAAACCCAGAACCTTCTTTATCTGAGATGCAATTTTCCTATGTTCCAAAGGCAGATAATCTCTCTCTCTCTCACGGGACTTTCTGTGATACTTAAATTCTGTGACAGTGCCTGTCACAGTGCTCGATGCTTGTGACATGTTAGTTCTCCTGTATTCCTCCCGCTTTGTATTTACAGGTGAAGCATTCAAGTTGAGGCTGGGCAATCCCATTTATTATTGATGTTTTGGAGTGAGGCGTATATCTAGAATGAAGGCTAGACTCTGAGTTCCCTTTCATTTTAATTGCCATACATAAACAATATTGTTAGGGGGGATTAAAAATACTGAATTACCCTGTAATGTAAGAAAAGGATCATTCAGGAATTTCTTCTCCATCTCTCTTCTCTCAGTGCTTTGTTTTGGTCTTCTCTGTCATAAGAACAGGGAGATATTTTATAGTCTGTCATTTTTAACATTTTTCCCTAATGGAGATTTCCCGTTCTAGGTAGTGAACGCATACCACCTTCGTGTAAGGAGGAAAAACCCGGTGACGGGCAGTTACGTGAAAATGAGCTTGCAGCTGTACCTGGTCGACAACCGAAGCTATCTTTTGGACTTTAAAAGCATTGATGGTAAGGAAGCTCCTCAGGCATAGGCTCTGAGAAGATAAAACGTGGCGCTAGATGTTCAAATCCCCTTGAAGGCATGGTGGGTAGGTCTTTTATACTGGTCTTTACGTAATCTAGATTCAGCTAACAATGTAAGTGACACGCGGGTCCAGGACGCGTGGACTGTCTCCAGCCCGGCGCCTCCCAAAGCAGTGCTTCCTTGCTCTGACAGAATCGTCGTGTTGGCTGTGGAGCCCAAACCAGGGAAGCCCTTTTACCTAAACTTCGCTGATGTTGTCAGGTTCTTTGTCCCATTTCCTCATCGTGTTTTATTGCTGTCAGCATTATCATTTCTAAACTTCCCCTTCATCAGCTTTTGTCATCCTGGCTGGCCCCGGTGACCAAATAGGCCTCTCCTGGGATCTGGGTTGGATTTTGGTGCCCATGGCCATCCAGGAGCCTGCGGGGCCAGGGAAGGAGGGCCTGCCCAGCAATACGTACTGTGCGCCTAGGGTCAAACCTGGGGGGACCGAAAGTGCTTATTTTATTCATAGGCCAAAGTAGGATAAGAACAGACTAGCTCCATGGTCAGGTACCGAATGGAACAAGAGAAGAACTGAGTTCAGATATAGGGACATTGATTTATTCAGAGCTTTTAAGTTTTATTCTTGGACTACCATCGTGTTTATATGGTCCCCAGACCACCTTCATCAGAATTATCCAGCGGCTTATTAAAATGCAGATTCTTGGGACCGGCCCCCAGCCTACTAAGTCAGAATCTCTGGAGATGGGAAACAGGGAATGCGCATTTTTAAAAGGCGTTCCCTTGCCCCCTCCCCACCCCACACAACTTCATTGTGCACCCGAGTTCAGAACCACTGTGTGATGGTAACTTTTATTTTTATCTTAATGCTTTTTTTCTTGATACACTCCAAGAAAATAAGCCTTCAAGGATGTGCTTTCTTCACATGCAAGGATATCAGTTTGATTTCAAGGTTAATGCCGAATCCTTGATAAGAAGGGTTTAGGGGTCACCTTTTGACCATGTGGAAGTGTTGTGATTGGTTAGTGATGTCGGTGCTTGTGGGAGGGAAGAGGTCACCTTGCTCCTAAAACACTGAAATGCGACATTTATTAAGTGGCCTTTGCTCAGAGGTGTTTACTTAATATGCTGAGTATACCATCGCCATAGGAAGGGCTGGGGCAAATATACCTTTCTGATCAATTGCTCTGCTTGGGTCCATTTCAGACGAGGTGGTGGAGCAGAGGTCTGGTTCCTCCACACCCCAGCGTTCCTGTTCCGCTGCTGGCTTACATAGACCGCGATCGAGTTTTGATTCCGCAACCCCCGAGAGCCACTCGCTCTCGGGCTCCCTCACCGGCTCCTTGACCGGAAGCATCCTGTCCGCGGTGCCACCTCGCCTGGGCAGCCACACCATGGATTTTTTTGAAATGTGTGCCAGTCTGATCACTACTTTAGCCCGTTGATAATCTCTCTCTACTTTATGTCTTTCTGTTATTGCACTGTGAAAATCACATGTATTCTTTAAATTATTTTACTTATGTGTGCACATACTCTAAAATGCTGATGGACAGACATGAATATTGCCAGGGGACTCTCAATGCCATTGAAATGACTGAAAACAAAGAAGTTCTGACACTTTATTTACCTGTAGAAAGATGTAATTCTATTTTGTCTGTGATAACTTCCCATAGGCAGTGTCTTTAATAGGTGAACGCTGATGAGTATCGTCAATTAAAATTGTGAGCTCGCCGCCGATGATTGACGTACCTTCCTGGTGAAGCGTCCCAGTCAGAGGGTGCTGGGAGCGCACGTCTGTAGTGCAGGTCCGTCCGGTTTACTTCCCCAAGATTTCAGCAAGCTTTAAGCTGTGTTTATGCACCCAGTTCTCTTGCACAAGAATATTAAAAAAATAAAACAACCATTAGTAAGATAGTATTTAAATGTTGAAATCTTAAACTTAAACACCTGCCCTCAAAGTTTCAGAAGCCAAGTGCAAGGAATTTTTGCCTAGTGTTCAACAGAAAGGTGGTGGCCCTGAAACAGACAGCCACGGTTTCCTGGTTCCTTAATAGCTGTAACCCACTGGAGGTTTTATCTTTTTTTATCTTGAGATTTCCATGAATGATATGCTTATTTTAAGAGCCTTAGAGGTTCTACTCAATATTGTTAGCATCAGGAATCACAGCAACTTCAGCCCTAAACTTACATATTTAAAACATGCTTCAAAACCTACCTTTCTGAAAATCTTTTGGGCTCTTTTTATTTTTGTACTTTACTAAGCATGATAAAGTTGACAGTTTACAAAACAAAGCAAAATATCAACAGTCACTTAAAAGAGAGCTCTTCTCTTTGATCTCTTATTGTGTGTGGTGGTAGGGGTGTGTGCGCGCGCGTGTGTGTGTGTGTGTGTGTGATGTTGCATCCCACATGTTAATTCTTCATCTGAAGTTTAAGTTTGTCATTGCAGTCACCCCTTCCTCCCTTCCCTGGTCTCCGTTGTCTCTGTGTATTGTTTGATCCTTAGTGGCTGATTGGTTTAGCTTTGTTCTATATCTGACTAGATTGCTACCCATCCAATTAAAAAACACTGCCCTTAAGGGCTTTTATGTAGTTTCAGAGCTTAGGAGGCTGTGACCCTCACTGTTGAAACTTTTAGGGCAAGGAAGCCTTAAAGATTTTTTTTAAATTCCCTCTTGTGTAAATATATGTGTTGTTTACATATACATATATATGTATTCACACACCAATGCTTTTAAAGGAAAACCAAACAGTTTTTTTTATTATTATTTTGTTTTGGTTTTGTCCAGGTTGTATTTTTTTTGGTAATCTTAAAAAAAAAAGAAAAGAAAAACCTATATACAGTATACAGCAGGGTAGATAATAGATTATTAATTATATTTTGTGTTAGTAAAAGTATTTAATTTAAATTATGTATAATTTATCTAATTTGTATTTATTCGTGTGTTTTCTTTAGTAAATTGTAATTAACAATCTCATTCGCCTGACTTACCCTAGAAGAGATTAGGCTCTTGAAAACAAAAAGTGACTAAGCCTCAACTGGTTTCTCTTTGCCAAAAATAATGTTTCCTACCAGAAGCAAATAAGAATGCTAGACCAAATCTCTCCTGTTTATGGAAGATAAGCATGTCTTCCTTCAAATAGTTTTGAGTTAGGAGTTTGCAGTGTTACATCATATTGGTTTGTAGAACTTAAAAAAAAAATCTTGTTCCCCCTGGCCGGTTTGGCTCAGCGGCTGGAGCGTTGGCCTGCAGACCAGAGTCCCGGGTTCAGTTCCTGCTAGGGGCACGTACAAAAAAAAAAACAACAAAAAAAATCTTGTTAAGTAACGTTTGAAGTCTGACTTCTTAATATCAAAATAAAAGGAGCCCTTGTTGGGAAAGAGGGTAGGGTTGCAGTTGTTTTAAGTTTAAACCTTTGAAAGGTTGCCACCTAGTGGCACAAAAGGGTGCTTTTTGTGACTATTTTTATAGGGATAAGCAGTATTCCCGCTTGTTAGTCTGATGTGCATTATAGATAGGGCACACTTTTGGCCTCTCCAAGTGTATACATACCTCTTTTGGGAAAAACAAGGCCGCCTCATAACATGTGCCTGCCTAGGAATGGGATGACCTTAGAAATAAGGAACTAGTCCAATTCCGTATCCTCAGTGACACAATCCCTGACAATTCGAAGGCAGAGAAACAGCAGGAAGGACTCCAGGGGTATTTTAGCTTCGTTAGTCTTAGTAAGTCATAGAAACTTTGATCAAAACTACTTTACCTGGATGATTATCATATTTTTTGAGAGTTAAAAAATTATTTACTAGTTTCTCATTCTTGCCAGTATTCATGAATATCTACAATTTAGCAGTTACCTGTTGAATTTAGGAGAACCAAGGGTTACAGCTTTGGTTTCTGTATGCATACGTTTTTAAAGCACAGCTATTCTGTGAATCTAGACTTGTTTAGTGGAGAGAAGATTTCAGGGGGCTTAGTCCAGCATCACAGGGGCTAGAGCATTGTCAGAGGAGCTTTTTGTTGCTAATGCTCAGAGAGGGAAAGAATCATCACGAAATTCCCACACTTCAGTCTTTTAAGCTGGTTAATTGTGGATGTGGTATGTGGTAGGTAGATCTGAGGTAAGAGCAGTATTTCCCAGTTAAAATTCTGGAAGAGAGCTTCTATTGTTAGGTTATAGGTAAATCTTTAGCTATATCATGGGAATGGACTCCACAGGACTCTAGAGTAGCATTTCCCAAATTGTGTCCTGCGAGATGCTCTGCAAAGAAACGATTCCATTTGAGCAAGTTTGGAAACTGTTATACATGCTCCTCTCTCGATAGAGGCTGACAGTAGATACGAGCGTTAGAGACGTGGACAAGTCCTTCTGTGAAAAAAAAACAACGAAAAAACAAAACGATTTAACTGTGTTCAAACTGCTTTGCCTGAATTAATCTAACCATGTTTTTTAAACTTACTTTCCCATGGGAAAAAGCAAATTTGGAAAATACTATTTTAGGAAAATGATTGTCCCAGGTTGTAATTACAGTGGTTAAGACTGAAGTTAAGTTTCCATTTTCCTTATCAGTTGTTGGAGAGAATCTGATTCAAAATCAGAATAATTTCATTGTAACCTGTGAACTTCTTGAGTCGGAGTAAACAGTGTTGTGTGTGTCTGCAGCTTGTCTTGTAGCACCGTGGTTTTCTTAGCCAGGTGTTGGTATTGTTTGGGAGCTAAATTTATTCTTTTTTGTGTGTGTGCTGAACGGGTAACTGAAAAATCTTGAACAAGATTACTTGTAAAAAAGTACTTAGAGGAGTAACTAATGCTATGACTCTGTGGATAACGAGTCAGTATTGATTCTTGCTTTCAAAATGTGTAGTCTGGACATTTTCTGAATACTTTTCAATAGAACACTATATTTAGATGTGATTCCTATGATCTTTTTTTGTGTAGGAACAAAAATCTCAAACTGAATTTATAGGGAGGGAGGCAAGTTGGGTTTTTGTTTCTACAAGTTTTAGTTTTATTTTATTGATGTGTACAGAGAAAGAGGGAGGGAGAGAGAGGAAAACATCGATTGATTGTTCTGCTTATTTAGGCATTCATGGGTTGATTCTTATATGTGCCCTGACCTGGCATCAAACTCACAACCTTGGTGTACTGGAATAATACTCTAATCTACTGAGCTACCTGGTCAGGGCCCGATCAACAAGATTTAAAAAAAATTTTTTTATTTATCCTTACCCGAGGACATTTTTGCATTTATCTTCAGATAGAGTGGAGGAAGAGAGAGAGAAGCATCGACATGAGAGAGACACATCGAGTGGTTGGGGGACAAACTGCAACCAAGTTATGTGCCCTTAGAGGGAACTGAACCTGGGTCTCTCTGGTCCACGGGCCGATGCTCTAACTGCTGAGCCAAACTGGCCAGGGCAAGATCAACAAGTTTTTAAGACACTTTTGTAACCTCTAGCATTTGCATTCCTTGATGCTTGTGATCTATAAAGAGAATCCAGGAGCTGAAATTACATCAGAAAGGATCATGTTTCTATGTCAGGGAACTGGCTGAATGCAGTATGGACAATTCTCTGTTTTCTCCAAATAGGTTTTACATGACAGTTACATAATTCTGGGCTTGCTTTCTCTTGTTCCCTAGCCAATTTGTACTCAGGGAATAGAAACTAATTTTTAGTATGAGATGAGACCTAAGTGAAGAAATCATCATAGACAACTGTTACAGACTTTTTGACTGTGTGGATTTCTCTGTAGCCTCTATCAATGTGCAGCATACTGAGTTACTATAAGCACCTTCGTTTATGAAATCTAAAAGCTCAGCATGTGTCTACCACAGACACAGCCTCTTTGTTCACTGGTTAAGCATGGAAATCCTATTAATGGTGGTAGAATCACATCATCTAAAGGCTAGACATGTTCACGGTTTTGTCTGTTTCTGTTTGTTTTCCAAGAGCCCTATGTTCTCAATCCGGCAGTTCTTTACCTGGTCACCCTGTTACTCTGGGACTTTTTAAGTAGGGAAATGTAACTTATTTTGATGATAGTTCTCAGAGATTCCACTTTTTTGGAAATTCTGGATGAGGGATATGTGCAATCTGTTGGTAAGTCCCATTCTATGTTGGGGTTCATTTGTGTAACCTCTAAAGTGGGAGGGAAAGGTTAAAAGACCTCTGAGGTACCTTTAAGCTTTAAAGTTCTATCTTCTCATATGATTTGTGTTAGTGTCCACATTTTATACATTTAGAGTTTTATACTCGTAAGAATGTTCTATGTACGTTTGGTGAGGCATTTTGAAGGTGTATACTTGAATTTCCCCCCCTAAATACAGCTACCCTTCTGGAATACCAATGGCACAAATCATCCAGAAAACCAAACATGTGGAACATCAGGTGCACTTGACGTGAGGCAAAACATGCCTAATTTGAAGTGATGGAAGCGTTCCATCCATTTTCATAGTGGTTTTTAGATCAAGAGATCCTCCATATCTTTTAACACGTTGCAGTAACCTTGTGAGTGACCTCCTTCCGGGTGACGAGGCAGGACCAGAGCTCTCCTAAAGATTCGTCCCACACGGGTGTTCAGCAGTGGTCACTGCCCAGATGTGCCACCTTCCTCGGGGGAGGACAGTCGGAATCCCTGAGACATCTGAGTAGTTGAGTAATAAAAATAAACAGATGGATGGCTTTTAAGTCTTAGAGTGACATAATGTAGTCTTAACTGAATGTTCTTAGTTTAATTATTTGAACCAGTTGATTGTACTAACTAGATGTAATGATGTAAAGTGTTTAGGATTAGCACATTGATTTTTATAAGTATAGTACTTTAAAGTTATTGAGGGTGCTTAAAAATACTGAAGAAACCGTCTAGGGCATGCTTCTTCCTTTAGTTCACATGGTTCTTGTCGTACAGTGTTTTAAAAAGCAAAACCAGCTCCAGCCCCTGCCCTAAATTATCATAGCTTTTAACAGTTATCTGAATTAGGCTTATCTAAATTTCATATGCAATTTGATAATTTTTCATTTTGTACGCATATTAGATGATAAAACACTATTTTCATAGAATATATTTCTATTCACGAGCTACCTAATTATTATCAGCTTGATAGCGATTCTCCCAAATCTTATAAAACTTTGAAATGAAATTTTTGTTTGATGAGCTTTAAAAATTACGTAAATTTCATTTGAACAAGTTGCTGGCATTCTTACGAGCCTTTCCCACATATAATTATAATGCATTTGATGGCCCTGAATAGTCATAGCAAAGAGAGAGCAGGGCCCACAGTCTAGGCTGGATTAACTTTTAATTAAACTTTTTCAGCCATAACCTGATAAGAATCAGGCTGGTCCAGAAGATT